GACTCACGAACTTGAAAAAAAGCCTGTACGTACTTCGCAGGCATCCGTTTTGCGCAGTGACAAAGTGATCGCTTCACCCTGCGCCTTCCTGTGTCCATTGCATCAAGACCACATTAGTAGTTTACAATTCAGCGCGCTAAAAGAAATAGAAATCTTAAACTTATAGCACTCGGGGTTACGTAACATGAGGACTTGGCGACTAGTAAATTTTGTTGGATGAATGAAACACTGCTATTCGTCTTTTTTTTTTTTTTTGCGGTGGGAAAACGCCTCACGAATAGATCGAAAACTGACGTACACATTTCATTACACGTACACGGCACAGATTTGTCGGCAGGTTTACTGAGAAGTTCGTTAAACTAGCTTTGCCTTCTTGCGCTCTCTCTGTGCCCGAACGGCACTGCTGTTCTCCAAGCATTTGGCTCGTGCGAAGAAGTGCATACGAGTTGTTAAATAAAAGTGAATTGTTTGAGCAGTAAGCTGATTAGCATGCTCGGAACAGCCAACAATATTTGGCACATGCAGCACACACTTCTTTATCTGCGTCAGTCAGAACGGCGCAATCGTTGTGATGAAGCCTACCTCCAACTTTTTTTGTCACTCTGCTGGAGTTGGTGACATCGATAAGAGGGCAACCACGGCAAAATTGTTTTGCGTGCACAATTTGTACAATCGCTTCCACATCTTGCGCAGAAAATATGTTAATCTCTGCATCCCAGCTGCGCAACAGTCTTCCATTTGCATGGATGACGTACGTGAGGTCCTCGTGAATCGCGACGCTCTTCAGGATCGCGTAAACATCGTCCTTCATTCCCGCCTTGTAAAAGATAACCTGCCGAGGTTTACCAGTGTCCTCCTCAAGGTCCGCCATTCTCCAGTTTTTCGGAAGCTTTAAAGATGAGCCGTTTTCGACAATCTGTGCGAAATCAATGTCGTGCACGGGATCAGGAACTTCTTGCTGGTACTCATCTGATGGCGTAGCAACAAGTACGACTTTGTTGGGTAAGCTGGCCCTATCCTTAGGCGACCGCCGCCTCTTTATTGTTTTTGACAAATAGCTTGGAACATTCGGAAATTGACACGGCACGGCTTCAGGCTGTAATGCCCAACAGCCGCGGTCTATTTCAACAACCTGGCCGTCAATGGCATGCTTGTAAGTCTTCACAATGTCATGTTGCATAAAATGCACGTCACACACTTTGCATGTCTTGCTCAGAAGTTTATCGGCGCGGGGAATAGCTCTCACCCACCTTTCAAGCAGCTGCGGATCGGACGGCGGTGCAAAAAAGTGCCGCTTTTCTGGATTGCTTTTGTACCCGCTGGTGCAGCCGGGCACGAAGCAAGTTGGCATCGTAAAGCTTGGCAGCTCCGAGACGTCCTGTGGCCGGTAGTGCTAGGTTGTCACAATTCACAGATGATCGAAGTCTTCGAGGATAACCACGTGCGCGCACGGTCACAACAACGAGAAAAAAAAAGCGCGATGACAGCCGCGCACGCGGCCAAGCAACTGCGGGGAGGAGCAACACCGGCAACACGTGCGCCCGCGACAGCGCAACTCGCGACTGTGGCGCCATCTCACTGCCCGGGTAAAACCGGCGGCCGCCTGCGGCGGCGGAGTTACGGAACTGAAAAAGTATCTATAAACGTTGGCCTGGACGGTGGCATCATCTGCTACGGCCACCAATATGGAATCCACATAGCTGACTGCACTTCACCTGCGTAAGGTAAAAAAAAAACCATCTTGCGTCGATTTCAAACTAAGCACTATATGAGTGGGCTTTGGCGTGTGCTTGACGCATGTAAACATATTGTTGCTGCAAAAAATGCTTGCAACGTCTACTGGGAACACTGGCGTCCACTGGTGACTACACTGGATAACCTATGGTCTCACAGAAAGTCAGCACTGACGTTAGAACAAAGACGGCGGTATTATCAAAATGAATTGCGCTTTACGGTGTGACGTGAGGATATCAGACTTAACTTTTCTCGGCGTACTCCTCCAGGGTCAAGCACGCTTGAACATAGGTTGCTGAACCATAGAAATATAAAGGTAAGGTTTGTCGGTCTGCTGTTAAAGTGCAGTCAACATTGGAACCACAGTTGACATTAACCCTGCATGACGTGTGTGACATAGGTTTACATACGTATACACTCCAAGAAGTAAAGAAGAAAGGGGATATCGAGGTTGCTCCTTTAAGGGAGTAACGCCGGCTCTTTCAGCGCGTGCTGGAGGCTGCAGTATACCAAGGGATTCCCGCCGACCTCCTTCGTAGCAGCGCAACCATGTGTTTGTACTGGTCTCCTCTCACTTGGCTGCAATAAAGAGCTCACCACATAACCAGCCCCAGCCTCTCCTCCATTTTAGAGATAAGTGTGAAGTTAGTCCCCCCCCCCCTCTCTTCCCGATACTCTTCAAAGGAGCAACAGTTACTAAAATAAAAACAATTCTTGGTTGGCTTAAGCAGAATCTCGCAGTTTGTGCAGGCATGTGATCCGATGTAAAGCCTTCTATGTTTTTAGCCTGAACGCGTGAGAATCGACTACCGAATCAATAAACGCCTATTGCCGGCCGATGTCTGTACTCGCCGTTTCTGGGTAGATATATACTGCCAGTCACATGTGGCGCATACTCACGCACCACGCGGCCCGTGGAATACGGGTATGTGCCACAAGTATCGAGAGGAAAGGGTCTCACGATGTACGCGACAGCATTTTTACGTTATTCATGTCGTGACCAGACCGTCGTATTCCTCCAACTCTTTTACCCTCCCACACCAACTTCGGTCTACAACAAATTAAAGTGGCGATCACGGGAGCACCCAGACGTAGACGTGCACACATACATACATACATACATACATACATACATACAGACAGACAGACAGACAGACAGACAGACAGACAGACAGACAGACAGACAGACAGACAGACAGACAGACAGACAGACAGACAGACAGATAGATAGATAGATAGATAGATAGATAGATAGATAGATAGATAGATAGATAGATAGATAGATAGATAGATAGATAGATAGATAGATAGATAGATAGATAGATAGATAGATAGATAGATAGATAGATAGATAGATAGATAGATAGACAGACAGACAGACAGACAGACAGACAGACAGACAGACAGACAGACAGACAGACAGACAGACAGACAGATAGACAGATAGATAGATAGATAGATAGATAGATAGATAGATAGATAGATAGATAGATAGATAGATAGATAGATAGATAGACAGATAGACAGATAGACAGATAGACAGATAGACAGATAGATAGATAGATAGATAGATAGATAGATAGATAGATAGATAGATAGATAGATAGATAGATAGATAGATAGATAGATAGATAGATAGATAGATAGATAGATAGATAGATAGATAGATAGATAGATAGATAGATAGATAGATTTTACTAATTTATTTCTTGTTACATTGAACACCTTATATATGCCTTAAAATGACGAGAATGACACATGCATTGCTCAATACTAATTATGACCTGTGCGTGAGGTGATCATATCAAAGTAGTACAGGCAGGATTTTAGGACATCACTAAAGGAACATTTTTCGTTTTCTCGGTATATAGTGTCAATGGTATCCACACACAGTAGTCAGACAGCACGTATAATATACATTACATTCATATAAAATATTACACTGCTCGGCATCTGCAAGACAGTCCCACTGGGATGGACATCATCCCGACGCTTCAACACAGTTTCTTTGCATTTGCGAGCTCTCAGTCTTCGATGAGGCCTAAGTTACAGAAATCAATATCAAGGTTAATAGACGACAATTCACTGATCGTTGTTCACGTGCACCACGAGCGCATGGCACAATTGCAGCAAGTACTTCGCGTGCGACGTCCCATTGCTATGACACGTCACTGAGACGTCATGTTCTTGATGCCGAAACCAAAAATGTATGTATGAGATAGTAGTAATAACCATAGATTCGGAGCATTCCCAGCCACCACAAAACTTGTTTAAGGTTCCTCTAAACCAGCGTTTTTGTTTACAGCAACAAACCGAAAAAAATGTACATTTTTGTCAACACTCATTAACAGCGTAAAGTAATAAACACTGCCTCATCCATGTCCTTCTAAAGCCAAGGACTGGTAGGCAAGTGCTTTCTATAAAGTGACAGTCGTAGCGAGAGGTTCTCACTAGTAGTCATGCTGTGGTCGAAAAGGTTCGTAGACTTCTCTAATCATGCAGATGCGATTACAGCGTATTTGAGACGTTGTCAAGCCTGGGGGTTTGGATTTGTTAAAAATCAATTACAATATACTTACAATCGTCTATCAATCAGCAACTTATGTGGTATATGTATGCGTCCTTCCAAGGACTCGCCGAGCTGAGAATCGGCAAGCATATTTTTAAAGGTACTCGAATAATAGTTCAACTTGTAGAAACTAACCGCCATGGAAGCTTGACCGCTAAGTCGTCAGACTGCAAGCTGGATGACGCATGTGGGAATCCCGGCCAACTCCTGATGAGAAAGGAACGTGATATCTGCAATGTACTTGGACTTACGAGTACCTTAATCAATCATAAGTGCTTAGAAATTTATTCAGAGGGCACCACTACTGTGTTACCCATAATAGTACCCTGGTTTGGCCACACATGTCTCATCGTTTATTACTGTATATGGAAATGAAGGCGGACAATGATCCCGCATGTAATGTGCAACTTTCCGTGTGACGAAGGGTAACAGCAGTCATTAAAGCACTTATATTTTTCTGAGACCGGCCGGGTTGCACTTTTTTTTTTCGCTCTGTGGCTTTCTTGGCAGCCTTCCTTTTATTGTTTGCGCAGCTGACGTCACCATGGCTGTAAAGAAGAGGACGATTTGCCTTTTCCGCTGCCTTTTAGCAGAATGTGTGGAACAATGCTTTCTTTTGGTGACGTCACATGATGACACGCGACCATGAGGAACCGGTCCGTCGTGTGTGCATGCAATTTCGTGCGACTCTTTCGCACGTTTGTTTCCTTTGCCGTCATGCCCACCCTTTGTGGTCTCTCCAGCTTTATCCAATACAGTTGTGAATCAGAGCTGCCACTCTTTGCGCACTTCGCAGTGAGCTTCAAATGTAGTCGTTCGAGAGTGGGGCTTCTCTAGAAGTGCGACACCGGTGGAATTTGGCTTAAAATTATGCTCAACGCCGTCCCTAGGTAAGTATTCGTTCTTTCAACCATTCATTGACCATGGTGGAGTTTTTTTATTAATAGTTTCAAATTTATAGTTTGCGATTCTGGAATTTCCTATTTTTCGTGTCGTAAAGCTTTGCCCCTAAAACAGCGACATCAGCGAATAATAGGAAGGTGTTTCCTTTCAGAGCGCGAAGAACGGGATCAGTCATGTGGTACAACGTAGCGGTAGCGTTGTAAAGGCCACAGGGGATCGTTTTTGGACTAGTCCAGCTTTGACGCCACACGAAGAAGCATTACTTAAAAAAGTGACCAGCAGTTAATTGTTCAACTTGTATTAGGCGCTTCGAAAAAGTGCCAGTCGGAATCCCACGCTGACGACCTGTGCAGTGAAGACGAAGCAACGGGAAACATCGCACGACTTTGCGATGATGAGCACTAAATTATGCTTCTCACTTAGAACAAATTGCTGTTTTCAAACTTTCTGCATTCATTACTAAAAAAATTTGCTAAACAGTGATGCATAAGCAATACCTTTACTTGAACCACTTGATAGCAAAAATTAAGTCACAATACAAGTAAAAGGTGTAATACGTATCACCACCGTATAAGGACTCCCACTCGACACATGTAATGAGAAATTCCCAGAGCTTAGGAGGATAGCGCAATATGAAATGATTTTTTTTATTTATTTATTTGCAATACCCTCAGGGCCAAACGGCATTACAGAGGGGAGTGGTTGCGAAAGAAAAGACAAACATTTCTACAAATGCAGCGGCGAAACTTACATCGAGCAGAAGACCTTAATTACACAGGTTGACTAACAGGCTTTATAGCAAACAAAAACGCGGGAATGATGAGAATTACATCAAGACAGGAAAAAAACGACAAGAAAATAACTACTGTACGGGAACAACATAACATCGGGTAATACAATACTTTGTTGGCTGTAATTACACATAACTAGCTAAGACACTTTTGAAATGAAGGTGATTTACAATGGTTGCCACTGATGCGGGAAGCCGGTTCCAGTCCTCGGAGGTGCGAGGTATGAAAGACTGAGAAAAGGCGCGAGTCCTGCAAGAAGGCAACCCGACCTTATGGGAATGATCCAGCCGGGGTGAGATATAACTAGGAGGCAAGATAAGATCGTCCCGCAGCGATGTGTGATGAAATAGCTTGTGAAACAAGTGGAGACGAAACATTTTACGACGGGATGAAAGTGAAGGTAAGTTGAGGCCAGATTTCATGGCTGTTATGCTAGCTGTCCTGTTGTAATTAGAAAGTATAAAACGAATTGAGTTATTCTGTACCATTTCAAGAGAGTGTATCAGGTTGGCATGACTAGGATCCCATACTGCAGCGGAATATTCAAGTTTAGGTCGTATTAGTGTAGTGTAAAGAAGAAGTTTCAAGAAAGAAGGGGCTGTTGAAAAGTTGCGGCGGAGGTAACCTAACATTCGGTTAGCATTTTTAATGACGTAATTACAGTGAACAGTCCAGGTCAGATCAGTTGTTATATGCACCCCAAGGTATTTATAGTTTGTCACGGATTGAAGAGGGGTGTTATCAAGGTAATAGTTTGGAAGTTGATGGTTCGCTCTCGAAACACGTAAAAATTGGCATTTCTTATTGTTTAATTCCATGAGCCATGTTTTGCACCAAAGAGAAATGGAGTTAAGATCATGTTGAAGAGAGGTAATATCGCCATCACAAGTTATCTCTCGGAAGATTACGCAGTCATCCGCAAATAAATGAATATTGGAGGTAATGCAGGACGGTAAATCATTAATGTATATAAGAAAGAGCAGTGGGCCTAGTACGGAGCCTTGTGGTACGCCGGAATGAACGGCACTTGGTTCAGAGCTTACATTATTAACTGAAACAAATTGAGAACGATTTTTTAGAAAACATTCGAGCCATGTTAGAAGCCTGGGATCTATATTAAGTTCATTTAATTTGTGCAACAGCAAGTTGTGACAGACTTTATCAAAAGCTTTGGAGAAATCTAAGAATATGCAGTCGGCAGAGCTATTTTGGTCGAGAATAACGTTTAATTTGTGTGTGAAGGCTACAAGCTGGGTTTCGCACGAGAATGTTTTTCTGAAGCCATGTTGGTGACGCGTAAAAAACGAGTTAGACTCAAGGAAGGTTGCAAGGTTAGAGTACAAAATGTGCTCCAGTATTTTGCATGGAATGCTAGTAAGTGAAATCGGTCTATAGTTTAATGGGGAATGCTTGTCACCGGACTTGTGAAATGGTACAATTTTGCCAATCTTCCATTCGATTGGTAATACGCCTTCGTGAAGAGACTGTTGAAAAATTTTAGTAAGAATGATGGATGAGTAGGCACAGGTACCTTTAAGGAACTTGGTGGTAATCAGGTCGCAGCCCGGGGCGGATGAAAGTTTGAGGGACTTAATCATGTTTTCTACACCAACAGAATCTATCATAATTGGGAACATGACTGGGTAGTTATAGCATATCTTAGGTGGCAGAGGAACATTAATAGTGCGACAGAAATTGCCAGTGAAAGAGATGTTGAGAGATGAAGCGCACTGCTCAGGGGCTATAGCGTCTCCAGAGCCATTGATAAGGGTTATCGTTTGTTCACTACTTGGGTTTATGACGCGCCAAAACTTTTTAGGATCGTTGGATAGCATAGATGGAAGAGTGGTATTGATAAATGTGTCTTTAGCAGATTGGATGACTCTGATGTACTCAGCAGACGCTAATTTGTAGGCATTCCATCGGGCAGCGTTGTTAGAACGCTTTGCTAATCTGTATAGACGCTTCTTTTTGTTAGATAACCGTTTAATGTGGTTATTAAACCAGGGGGCGTGTAAGTTTGTAGTGATAGAGCGGACGGGGATGTATTTGTTGGTCAGTTCATCTACCTTACGTATAAACAGATTCCAATTAGTTTGGACAGTGCGTTCATCGAAACCCTCCAGAAAAGTGTCAAGAAAATTGCACAGGTCATTGTTAATGCCTTCAAAATTTGCTTTATTATAATCACGAATTATTTTGGTGCTTTTAAGCGGCTTCGGACGCGGGAGCTTAATGCTGAACGACAATAAAGAATGATCACTTAGGCCCGGTGCATAGGTAATGTTTGAAACAACGTCAGGACTGGTTGTTAGTACGAGGTCAAGGGTATTGGCGGTTGAAAATGTTGTTCTTGTTGGTTCATGAACTACTTGAGAGAAAGAAAATACAGAGCACAGGTCGACGAATTCTTTGGCTAATGTTGATAATGGAAGTACGGTAGGTGGCTCGGTAGCCCAATCAATATTAGGAATGTTGAAATCACCCAATAGAAATAAAGGCAGGCTAGGATAACGAGAAGAAACTGTATGTGTTATGTCATGAAGGTCATTTATGAAGTCGGAAGTGTGATCAGGGGGACGATAGCAAACGCCCACGATTATTTTCTGATAACCAAGTTCAATGATGGCCCATAAAATTTCTAAGTTGCTTGGGATATGTATACAGTGGGATTTGAGGTCTTCCGAAATTGCCAAAAGGACACCGCCCCCTTGACGGTTATTTCTGTCGCAGCGATAAATTGTGAAGTTACGAGTGGTTTGAAAAATTTCGCTGTTCTGTACCTGCGAGTGTAGCCAAGTCTCCGTCAATACGACAACATCGGCGCAAGTCGTATCTATGGCAGAAGCTAAGGAATCGCGTTTGTTAATCACACTGCGAATGTTGGTGAAAAGAACTGATACGCAAGGAATGTGGCGACCACCGCCCCTCACGCCCCCCTATGCGCTAGACGAATGCGCAGCACTCCCTTTGTGTTTTACCGGCGCTACCGGGGTAGCGGTTGCACTCACGGTATCAGTTACAGAATTATAGATATAGTGTTTTTTGTTCATTACAAGCTTGTTGTACCGAATCTGGAAATCGTCTGTGTGAGTCTTGGCAAATTCGTACAATTTCTTTCTTGCGTGACGCGTGGTAGGCGAAAAGTCCTCGCTTACTGAGACGTCTTTTTCCATCAGTTTTTTGCGTACGGAGAGTATTTTGTTTTTAGTCTTAAAGTTCGAGAATCGCACCATAATTGGGCGACATTTACCTGGATGATATTGCCCCAAGCGATGCGCACGCTCAATTGCAGTCTCAGGTAACGGGTCTAAAACGTCACGCAAGACTTCCCTTACGTGCACCTCGGTTTCCTCCCACGTTTCACGGTCGTCCGGTATACCTCGTAGAATGATGTTATTGCGTCGCGACCTGTCCTCCAGATCATCAACGCGTGATTGCAGGGTATCTTGTTTAGATGTTAATGTTTCGACGGAACTCTGAAGGTGCACGATATCTTCATCCATGCGACCAAATGTTTTCATTTTTTCTTCTACGGCGTCTAACCTCTTCTGAATAGCACCAACTTTTGTTTCAATGCTTTTCTGCCCAGTTTTTATGACTTTTATGTCGGCTATTAGCTCCGCGTGGTTCTTTGCCGATTCCATCTGCTGGGCATGAACCTCCTTGAGAAGGCGGAAAAGAATATTTGTATGCTGTGAAGGATCATCGGGTAAGTCCTCTAGGTCAATAAGGGCCGGGGAACGGGTATTACGCGGCCCGGGATTTGTCTCGATGTCACCAGAACACAGCAAAATAAGGATCATAGAAAAGCACTCAGAAAACGTTTCACATAATACGTGTGGGCAAGGAAGCAGCAGTAAATAGCGGTTATCACTTCGCTTAGCATGTAGCGAAAACCGTTTACACACCTGCGAAATGCAGAAGCGGGATGCGTGAGACATGATGTCGGCGCCGCCCGCTTGCCCACTGAAGCGGTAGTCGTGCCAGCAGCTGTTTAAGTAGGCCGCTGGAACTGGCGACGTCACCGAGGATGGTGCTGCGCAGAAATCCCGGCGCACCATGTCAGGCCAAACGAAGAAAAAGCCATGTTCTTGATTGCGGTCGTCCGAAGGTTGGCCCAGCGGTGGCAGCGGGACTGGATTGTCCGTTGCCGTGAGTATCGTCGGTGAAAACGGCAGCAGTAGCAGCGTAACCAAAGCCTGCGAAATGCAGAAGCGGGATGCGTGAGACATGATGTCGGCGCCGCCCGCTTGCCCACTCAATGATAATAACACAGAGCTGAATAAGCCAAACACATTTTCGATACAGCAGAACAGCATTTTCAATGCAGCAATTCACTTTTAAGGTACCGATCCCTACTATGGAAGAATAAACCATGCTTTTACGAAGAAATCTCTTTATGGCTCGGCGAAGTGAAAAACCATTCGCCAAATGTGTCAAAGAAGATTTTCATTGGCTGCGCCATCAGTTAAGTTGTTCTCAAGCACGCTGTCATTGGCTGCGCCGTCAGTGACATCGTTTATCCCATCACAGCCATGTCGCCGAGCTCGCGCAACAGTTTCAATTTTTTAACTGCCACATGGGTACCGCCGATAGAATGAACTCCTGAACAGCAGTGAACTTTTGAGGAACAACGCAGATAGCAGAAGCTTGAGAGAGCTCGCGTTCGCTGGTTTGATGTTGCAGTCTGGGCACAAGAACAGGCCCGGATGACCAAGCACAAGACGCAAATGTGTGTCGAGGATCCGGAAGCCTTCTAAAGCTGTGTGCATACGACAGATGAAATCGCGATTCGACCCCGGGGTTTGCGTACTACGTCATCATACGTCACCCGTTCCCACATCCTCGCTACGGTCCGTGCGAAGCGATTCGTGAAGCGACGGAACCCCAATTCACCGTTGCGATCCTTGCAAACCAATGACGAAATCTTCGCTTGTAGCGTGCATTCTCCCCTGTCGTGTGGGTATATTCACTGCGGAGGGATCAGAATTACGTCACATGTCACGTGACTGATCCATCCACGGTCACGTCTAGTGGCGTAGCCACGGGGGAGGGAGGGGGGGGGGTTGGGGTGAGTTTAAACCCACACACCCCAAAAAGTTATTGCGCACGTACACGCCTATATAGTTTTCCCATCCCCTGCTATGCTACATTGTACACGGTTGTGCTATGGCGCACCCTCTAGCCTCCTCCTTTCCTTGCTGCTCTCAATAACATCGGTTCTATTCCCCTCCACATCACATCTCTTTTCCCCACCTTTCCTAACCTATACAGAATTGACAATGCTTTGTTCTCTTCTTTTACTTTCTTTTCCTCCTCACCTTGCCACCCCCTGGCTGTTAATTATTATGCTATGCCTTCCTTGCATGTCTTTCGTTTTTCTACCTTTGTTTCTTTCTCTATTTCTCTCTCATTTGCTGTATTTTTTCCCCACAGCAACACAATCAAATGTTTATTATAGCACGCCTGGATAGCCTATGGACACGAGACTCACCTTCAGATCGTAGGAACTCAATTTTAATCACGTGCCACCAAGAAATTTTATTTGATTTCCTTCTGCCCCTCCTTTTTTTCTTTTCTACCTCCAACGCATTGATACGCGACGCATGGTGACGCCATCGCTCGGCGGGTGGCGCATACCCACCCACGATTGCGCCAACGTCACCCGGAACATCGCCACCCTTAAACAGCTCCGTGGTTGAAAATGTTAACTAGCATAGAACCCCAAATATGTCTGTCTTGCCGAAATGTGCGAATGACTAGCGTTGCCTGTGCAGCAACAGCCGAGCGTGAAGAGGACCATGGGCGTCGAAGAGCTGCCGACGGCCAGCCACCAGAAGGTGTTCGCCGCCATATGGCGCACCGTGCGCGAGGCTCTGTTCTTGCTCCAAGTGGGCACGTTGTGCGTACTCGCTCTCATGGTGCGCAAAGGAGTGTGCCGATCCAAGGCCAGTATGGAAGGCAAGACCGTGGTCGTTACGGGTGCTAACGCAGGTGAGCGTCTCGTTTCGGCATGTCCTTTGACTTGATTTGATTCGTGTGTGTTTTACGATGGCGCTACACTTCACACCTTTACTTAGTCTAAGCTGGGCTCATACCGGAGGTGGTGCCACACCACGCGAACGCTTCAGGGCAGGAACAACGTCGTGGTATGCGTGTCTCTCGTTGTGCCTTCCAAGAAACCTGCTCCTCGTTGGTCTCACCGCATGTCCAGTCGGGTTTTTTACACCATGCAGATTGCTTATCATGACTGCGTGCCATTAAAAGAAATTGACAATGGTGTTGCCCCTGTATAGAATGGAATCGTTACACTCCGAGTCAGAACGATAGTTCACACACTCTAAAATTCTGGGAGGCCCTGCCCCACAGTCCAGGTCCCAACTTTCAGCAAGACATCATTAGTCAAGCACCATCGTCTCAAGGAATTCCGGCCGACGGCTAGAGGCGACGAGCAATGACTGACGCGATTGCCTGATTTTTTTTAAATAAAGCTCTTTCATCTTTCTCTGATGATCTAGTGAATTGTATAACTTGATAGGAGTTTCAAAATGCGCAACTGTGAGAGCATCTTTCTGGCGCCTCGTCTTCAAACATTTAAACGGGCGCTCACGGCATTGACAATTTTGCACTAAATAAATAATAAAGATGTGAAACTTCAGATATCTGCGTAATGTGTACAGTTTATCAGGTGGTTTTGAATTTAGCGAATCGCTATAGATATCAATGTTCGGGCACTCTTGCTCGTGGCCCGCTGCGTGGGCGAGCAACGTCCGACAAGCCAGCAACCTGATTGAACAGCTTAGCGACGTCACAGATTTCTTACCAGTGTGTTGGTGACTTATAACTACTGACGTTACTAAATGCAAATATTTTTATGCAAGCCAAAGGTACATTGACCGTTTCTGCCCATATATCTTTGGCATATGCGCTGAGACGCAAACGTTTCAATTGGTAAGGTAGGTAGCCCCGCCGCAGTGGTCTAGTGGCTAAGGTACTCGGCTGGTAACCCGCAGGTCGCGGGATCGAATCCCGGCTCCGGCGGCTGCATTTCCGATGGAAGCGGGAATTCTGTAGGCCCGTGCGCTGAGAGTTGGGTGCACTTTAAGGAACCCCAGTATATATATATATATATATATATATATATATATATATATATATATATATATATATATATATATATATATATGATAGTTTGAAACGGCCGATGTTACACCCACAGACGTTTGTTTTGGAGAAAGTGTCAACACACGTCGCCATTTGAAGAAAAAAATCACAGCATATCCACAGATTGAATGATGATGAGTGGGGCGAAGCATCCACCCGTCCGTCCGTGCGTCTGCCTCTGCGTTCGTCCCTGCGTTCGTCCGTGCATCTATCTGTCTGTCCGTCCACGCGTCCGTCCATTTGCTTCTCTGTCTGTCCACCCATGCGTCCGTTCATCCGTCCATGTAGTGAACACTCCAAGTACCGCCATCTCGCATCTTTTCATCATATATTCATCACATAGAAGTACCGCCTTCCAGCGGACATTCCAAGGACTAAACGAAAGGTGGCTACCCACATACCTACATACATACATACATACATACATACATACATACATACATACGTACGTACGTACGTACGTACGTACGTACGTACGTACGTACGTACATACATACATACATACATACATACATACATACATACATGGCCCCACCGCGGTGGTCTAGTGGCTAAGGTACTCGGCTGCTGACCCGCAGGTCGCGGGTTCGTATCCCGGCTGCGGCGGCTGCATTTCTGATGGAGGCGGAAATGTTGTAGGCCCGTGTGCTCAGATTTGAGTGCACGTTAAAGAACCCCAGGTGGTCGAAATTTCCGGAGCCCTCCACTACGGCGTCTCTCATAATCAAATGGTGGTTTTGGGACGTTAAACCCCACATATCAATACATACATACATACATACATACATACATACATACATACATACATACATACATACATACATACATACATACATACATACATACATACATACATACATACATACATACATACATACATACATACATACATACATACATACATCGTGGACGCACGACCCACAGCTTAAGAATCTTCGCCCCTAAACATAACCTTTCCCATATCTCAGATACGAGTCATTTCTGAAGGAGGTTTGGCGCCAGCATTCCAACAACATATCCGTACCTATCTCCAATGTGACTAAAGCCTGGAGACCAACTTTTAATTATAGAGTTGTTTCACGGTTATGCAAGAACACATGGTAACCGCGCGAGGTGCCTTACGAAAACAATGCTTCAGAACTGTCCTGCATGCGTGGCGCATGAACGTACTTTTCAAGAAAATTAAAAAAATGGAGTAAAACATTCATGTGCGGTCTGCAAGCGAAAGGTTCGCGGGACGCGTATTTGAGACGCCTGAACCAAGGTGTCACGCCGGATCTCAACAGCTTGTCAATAACTTGTGCGGTCTGCAGCCACATTCAAGTGGTTTTTATACCTATGCTCCGTTCGTCAAATATACAACCTTGAAAAAAGCATATCCTGTTGCAAATCGCAACAAAAGCTTTTACAGTAATCTCATTCGAAAGGGAAAGTGGGAGTCAGCTCCGCCGCATTGCAATATCAACAAGCAGTGAAACATACACACAAAAGCGGAAGGGGCTGCTTTGTCAGGACATAGCGTGCTTCCGAAAAAGCTTTTTTTTTTTTTTGCTTGAGGTTGCGTTTTGTGGACCCCCGAAATGACTTGGCAGACGCCGTGGAATCCGCGGACCCAGATTTGAGAATTACTCGGCTTCCTCCACCTCCTCAGAAAAGGAAGCGTAAATAGAGGCAGCCGTATGGCCTAGAGAGTTTACGACTGAGAGAACAAGAAAATTACTGTCATGGCGTTGGGCAGCATCGATGAAAATGGGCCCCTTGGAAGTGCGAAATCGTGTCGCAAGAACATCTGGATGTTGCCATCGCTATTTCTCGTGTAGAAAAGGGTGCGTGTGTCTTTTGAGAGTGGCGGCTTACGCGTAGATTCATGTGTATTCAGCCACGAGTATTGTGCACGGTTTGTGTGAGTAGTAGGAGATAGCCTGATAGCGGGAGATTCTTTAGTGTCCTTTTTGCTTCTAGAACCAGGTCCCAGCAGCGTCTTCCGAGGCCAAATAGATGTGCTGTAGCTTGTCCTCACTGCTCCAGATATTGAAGCCGTACACTTCAATTGGTCATACGCCAATGTTGTTCGTATACGCTTCTATATGGTCTTCACATGATGATCCGCAGTAGGTTGGCGGCTCCTTGCATTGTTGCAGACTGACTGTCGCGAGCGGTTGCACTGGGCTTGTCATCGTTGTGGCCGTATATATAGTGGGTATGGCCTTTGTCTTCCGGATCTCATCGAATAGAAAACTGTACTCTGTTCTTCCACCTTGCTGAATGCACTTAGCTCGCAGGTAGGGGTTGGCGTCGATGTCTTATTTACGACTTGGGCTGTGTTCACTGCTTGACGATGTCGGCCGGAACCTAAACGACACTTCCACCAGATGTCACGTCTCTTTAGGCAAACTTGTGTCCCGGAAATGAAAACTCAAACAGCAATACACGCTATACACTTATCAAGGGGAACAGATAATCTGACAAGTGGTAAAGCACGCCAGCTTTTATACATATGTGTCAACGAAGATTCCATCTTTATCGGTGGTGGCCGCGTAAGCTGTAGATAATTAATGAAAACAATAGCAAAGGTTCTGAAACATTGATTGATTGATGATTGATTGATATGTGGGGTTTAACTTCCCAAAACCACCATATGATTATGAGAGACGCCGTAGTGGAGGGCTCCGCAAATTTCGACCACCTGGGGTCCTTTAACGCGCACCCAAATCTGAGCTCACGGGCCTACAGCATTTACGCCTCCTTCCAAAATGCAGCCGCCTCAGCCGGGATTCGATCCCGTGACCTGCGGGTTAGCAGCCGAGTACCTTAGCCACTAGAACAACGCGGCGAGGCGTTTCTGAAATATTATGACACGGTCAATACGCCGAGTGTTGCAACCAGTCTGTGCGGCTGAAATACTAATATAGGTGAAAATAACACGCATGACACACAATATGTAAACACACACACACACACACACACACATATATATATATATATATATATATATATATATATATATATATATATATATATATATATATATATATATATATATATAGTTATAAACTTCGTATAGGTAAGACTTCGTATAGGTATATATATATATATAGTTATAAACTGCGTATAGGTAAGACGCGCCGCCAGAGGCGGCGCGTCTTACCTATACGCAGCAACAATGCCAGAATTACCCGCTCGTTTCCGGCGGCTCTCCGTCGCTCCTTTCTAGTTCCTCTCCTTCTTCTGCTTCTTGTTGTCTGTTGCTACCTCGTTCGCCCGCTTGTCTTTTTCTCTCTCTCTTTTTTGGAGGGTCTTTAAACTGTGAGGGTGACCCTCTGCTACGGGAACTTGTATCATTTCACTTACATCCTCCGAAGAAGGCTGGTCCACCAGCCGAAACTGTTAGGATTAAATAAATATTTTATTGTTTTGTTTCCTATACTGCACTATTCTCGAAGTTTATAACTTTTATTACGGTAGCCGGAAGAAACTCTGATCATCTATTTCATCTATATATATATATATATATATATATATATATATATATATATATATATATATATATATATATATATATATATATATATATATATATATATATATATATATATAATTGGTGTGACATCCCTGCTGACTCGCATGTTTTCTTGAAACTGCCGAAGAATGCTCCGCATTGAGCAGTGCTCGTGACAACCACAGGCATCGGCAAGGCCACAGCCATGGCGCTAGCACGGAGAAAGGCCCGTGTGATCCTGGCCTGCCGCAACATGGACAAGGCCAAGCGGGCAGCCCAGGAGATATTCGAGAGCACGGGACAGTCAGTGGTCATCAAGGAGCTAGACCTCGCCTCGTTCAAATCGGTGAATGACTTCTGCGACGACATTCTGAAGACGGAGTCGCGACTCGACGTACTCGTCAACAACGCTGGCATCGTCACAGGTATGCTGTGCCGCTAAACGTACTGTGCCCTACCGTACTGTGCCCTACCGTACTGTGCCGCTTATACTATTCACGAGGCACTCGTATTAAAGAAAAGCAAAAGGCAGGAAGTGAAATATTTAGGAGGTAAACTCACAAGCAATTTAAGTTTGGAACCACACATAGAAAGTGTTTGCAGCAACGCCCTTGAAAACCTGGTATTTTAAAACAGAATCTGCATCGTACCTCGTTGACCGCAGTATCAACAGCGTACAAAATTTCAGTCCAGCCAGCATCACAATATGCGGATCTGATTTGGAGCCCGCATCTAAAATACCTAATAAAGATTAGACTGCCAAATTTCGCTTAGAGGTTTATAAATAATGTCTGCCGTGGTGGAGCAGTGGTTATGGTGCACGGCTGCGGATTCAATCATGGCGGTCGCATTTTGATGGAGGTGAAAAGCTAGAGGCTGGTGGGAAGTGAGGTGTCACTGCACGTTAAAGTAAACCAGGTGGACGAACTTCCCGGAGTCCTCCACTACGCCATATTTCTCATTTTCATGGGAAAGTCACGAAATTACGCGGGAAAGTTACTTACCTATAAGCGCCACATCAGGTCTGGTAACCACAACATAGCAGTTAAGCAGAAATTTGATCATATTAACATACATCAACATTTTCTTATTCGCATGCTGGATCAGCACGGCACAAGAATCACCAGAAGATAGCTAACGCTAATACAACAAAAACGTTCGTTCAGCTAATAAATAACCTTTCCATTGACCTGTAAAATTATGTTTATACTGGGTGGCAATGAAGGTGGCTGAATCTTAAGTTCGCTTTTTATTTGATGTATAGTGTACAATTCACTTTGTGCATTGCATTGCTGTAAAATTGATTACTGTAATGTTACTGTTCTGCTCCGAATTACAAAACATACCTCTTGATAATGTTGATTGTAATCAACATATATTCTACCACGTATGTAAGTGGCAGTTCTAATTATTGTGGTTGGTATTATGTATAACGATGGCCGAAGTATGGATAATAAAGCGAACTTATTTTTTAAATGAGAGTGAGTTGGGGCTCATAGTGACCCGAATACTTGCTTACTTTGGTCCCGCTTCATTTCGACAACGCTTATTCTCTTAATAAACGAAAACGCTAGAGCTGCCACGAGGTCTTCCGTAGTAAATAAATGTACGGTTTGCACGAAGCTCAAAACCAAAAGATAAGAAACCTGAAGTAAATATTTAGACCCTTCATAATGTTTTAATCGTATGAAAAATTCGAAAATATTTTCGTCGTCCTGAGAGAACAAAAACGGGGTGGGGGGAGGCAGGGGGTGCAATCATCCATCCTGGTTACCTATTAGGCACGCAGTCAGACATCTCTCTGAGGGACACGTCAACTCCTGAAACTATTATCAGCAGCGGCGACATGCCTAGTGAAATAATGCTTGAAGAAATCGTGTTTAACGTAATGCATGAATACAACCACGATTTAAAGGGACCCTGAAGGCCGTTCCTGAACTTTTGTCGGTGTTTAGGTCACAGCACCATCATACCATTCCCACTGCAAATTAAGCGGCACGTCGTGCACCAAAGCACGCGAGGGCCATTAATTGCATATCTTTCTTCTCAGCAAAGCCATAGCCTCACCGAACGCCTTCCTTTCGAAAGTAACCGGCAAGCGCGAACTCATGAACTCAAGCAGCCTGCACTTCCACGGGCCAATATCATGATCTGTAGAGGTCGCGAGATCATTCTCGAGTTTTATGCTACCTGTGTTCATCGTTTGAACCAACCCTAAACATTTTACCGCGAAATACGCTCTCGAAAACACTTCAAGCTTGAATGCCCACTTTTTGTCCAGTTTGTCATCGCAACAACTTTGTCACTTTTCGTGACACTTTCGTGCGGCTCTTGGCGATACGCATAACATGCTGGCTGGCATTCACGTTTCTTATAGGAATTCATATGATTTGCCATATTCTCTTTTTCGGTGGCCAGCATTCGAGGCAGGATGAAACTGGCTGGCATAGAATGTAAAGCCTACATTTATTTCCCTTTTGTTTCAGACTCCAAAGCGGTCAGGCTGACTGAAGACGGCTACGAATTGTGTTACCAGTCCAATTATCTCAGCCACTACTTGTTAACGATGAGGCTCCTCGGTAAGTACGATAATATTTCAGCCCATTTTTGAGACACTTGAAGGATAATACCTATTTTCACTAGCTGCTTCCCGGCCACGCACTCCAGGTTTATTATTATTATTATTATTATTATTATTATTATTATTATTATTATTATTATTATTATTATTATTATTATTATTATTATTATTATTATTATTATTATTATTATTATTATTATTATTATTATTATTATTATTATTATTATTATTATTTGCTCATTCAGACGCTGAGATTGCAAATGCGGAGAATAGGAGGAGCCGCTGCAGGTGACTACATGCATAAGAAAATTCGTTAAGCTTTCTCTGCACAGAAATCGCCTTTAGTAAAAGTTATTGTAGGGCTAGTTGGTGCATGTCACCCTTGATTATGTTGCCGCTGCCTTGGTGTATCTGTGTGTTACGTGCATATCATGGTTCCTCGTACTTTGTGCACGTTCGAAGATTCTTCAATGATATATCAGCTGAGAGTGCATCTTTTAATAATTTTTGCTTCATATTGTTCACTTGAAGGCACTGTGATGTAATGGAGCAGTCCTTCTACAATGTGGTCATATTCAGTCTTATCTATGTGCTTCGAGTTGTCCATAGTGGTTACCTTGTAGGCCGAGGGACCATCCCGAAGTGCAGCCGCTGATCCCATGTGGAATTCCCGGACAAATTTTCTTTTTTTTTCATTTTTTTATTGGCTAAGCCTTTCTGAGAATCCTTCTGGTTTTTTTCTTCAATTGTCAATATCCTCGATTACTGTCTAAAAATGTTTCATGGGGCTTTATGCGCTGAAACCATGATACGCGCAGAAAGACATCGGGCTTTATTAACGTACACGTGAACTACAGAGGTGTTCACGAATTCAGCCCTCAGCGAAAGACAGCCAGAAGGCGAACACGCGTCCTCAAGCCACCTATACGATACCACGGCAGGTAGCCCACGCGTTCTCGCTGATGCTGACACGTGCAATCGCGGCCACGCCTGCACAATAAGCCTTACAGCTCGTCCACTCATGCGATTATAGTTTTCGTTGCGCGACCAAGTTAGTCACAGAGCCACTGCTTCTGTTCAGTCGCTCGCTGTTTGATATCGCGGCCTCACGACCTCTGAACCAATAAAATGTGCAGGAACAGGAAGTCAGCTTATCTTACCGGGTGATGACAATGCGAGCAGGTGTGAACTCCTGGCGGTGCGAATTCGCATGGAGTGTCATGAAAGCGAGGCGTCAACCACTGATCCATTCCGCGGCGCCTGATGGAGTGTAGAAATGGTGCCCCGCCGCGGTGGTCTAGTGGCTAAGGTACTCGGCTGCTGACCCGCAGGTCGCGGGTTCATATCCCGGCTGCGGCGGCTGCATTTTCGATGGAGGCGGAAATGTCGAGGCCCGTGTGCTCAGATTTGGGTGCACGTTAAAGAACCCCAGGTGGTCGAAATTTCCGGAGCCCTCCACTACGGCGTCTCTCATAATCATATGGTGGTTTTGGGACGTTAAACCCCACAAATCAATCAAGTGTAGAAATGGTGTTCACGCAGCATAACTTCAAGGTATCCAATGTTGCATCCTAAGAAAGAAAGCCGGGCAATACGTTGCTTTGACGCGACTCTTAGTATATACTATTAATTAGCGTGTAATTCACTATACAATTATTTTCTAATTAGTACACTTCAATTTTTGCATTAAAAGTATCAAACCTCAGGCTCTATACACATATACCCGGTTTGCTTTGTGGTTGTATTCGTTTCGAGCAAAGGAAAACACCTTTGACAGTGGTCCTGTACCGCAGCACGTCGAACGATTATCGAGCATGGCAGAGTATCAGGAGCTATACTCGGCACAATGAAGTTAAATGACCGACAGCGTTCCACTCAGGAAGCCCGTACAAATGTCAAACACGTGGGCTGTGTACGCGCCTCCATGTTTTATGCGTACAATCGTATACGCACATCGTCACTGAACTAGGCGTAGGGTCGCTTTGAGATTGCCAGTGCAAATGGTCGCACGGCTGTGCTATTCTATAGTTTGAGTGAACCTTCTTTTGAACTATTCACAAACTGTCGAAAGGGGCGGCCTGTTTTGGCGAACTCTGCTTGTCAAAGGATGAGCTTTTCTACAAAAAAACTGCTCATGTGCAGATGCTAAAAGCAAAGTCCAGATTTGAGACGGGATGCCTGGTCAGAAAGCGAAACGGACAAGCCCTTGTCTTTTGTTAGAAGAGGTGAAAACACCAGGAAAGCCTTTTTTAAACGCGGCCTTCTCGTGTATTTGTTTTGTTTTTCTCGAGTGCTGCAATAGAGTCTCGCTGAGGGCACGTCATGGCAGCACGCGTTTAGCAGCAGTCGACCTTGGCGAGGCGGCACCCATTGTTTGCTGAACAAAGCCAAGTTTTCCTTTCACCGGAGCCTTGAGACACGTTTTCGCGGCGTCACATTTGATGTAGTATTTCCGCAATCTCACAACTTATTCTCGGTACGGCAATCGTGGCTTGGTTCATCAAGGATGAAGTGCTGCTGTATAATTGGCGCCGCAGACTTCTAGACCTGTTCCGAGTAGGCGGCGTTGAAGAGATACTGTCTACTAAACCAGTAAGATAAGCTTCAAAAGGGCTGTCGCGGTACCGAATGACAACGCAAGTCTTACCCGCCACGTTGGATGTAGTGGTTATGATGATTGACCTCTGACTCCGAAGTCACGGCATCGAATCCCGGCCGTGGCGGCCGTAGGTGTAATATCAGAGGTCTGTGCACCTATAGCTTTAGGTGCACGTTATAGCCTGTTGGTTAAAACCTCTAAAGTCCTCCACTGGAACGTCTATCGTAATCATATCGCGGTTTCTGGATGTACAATCCCGACAATTATTATCAATGGGTCTGGGACGTCAGACTCAAACAATTATTACTACAATGCATGGGGGTCAGAAAAGCCATACGTCACGCGCAGTAGAAGCGTAGACATTTAGGCGAGTTGTTATAGCGTTCCGCCTGAAACACTAACACAAAATGAAGAAAGAAAGGGGAATCACTGCATACTCTCCTATAAAATTTTTTTGAAAAGAAAAACCACAAGTAGAGAAATACATCACCTGAACAAAGAATGTGCAATTTAAAGCCTCTCATTTGAATGATTGTGTCTCGTATGAACTTACGAGTTTGTCTTTCTTACTCGGCACAGAATCCTTGTTTAATTGTAGCAACAGTTCATTAGAATGCGTCTCGTGGATTCAGGGGATGCAGATGGCGTGTGCTTTCATATGTATACGTGTTTTTTGTTTCAATCAAGTTTCAGTTGCGAATTGATGGTGGCCAGCGTCCAGCTTGAGTAGTACGACCACAGGGTAACATATTGCTCTTCCGAGTGCCTTTCAATTTTCGAAGTCTCGGCCCCAGTTTCTGTTTCCGTAAGAATGCCACGTAAGCACATAAACTTGTTGTGACTTTCATTACGACGATGTTGGTGTGCAGGGCTGCTGCGGAAGAGTGCACCGAGCCGGGTGGTGAACGTCTCGTCAGCCGTGCACCACTTGGGCACTCTTGACGATCCCGACAAGCTGGCGCGCGGCCTGACTGCCGTGCGTCACCCGACCTACTCGTACGCCTGCAGCAAGCTCGCCCAGGTCGCATTCACGCGCTCCCTGGCGCACAAGCTACGCCACACTGGTACGCACCCGAAGGCCTCTTTCTGCCAGATTGCCCTTAACGGAATTCATTACTGGGCTAGTTCCCATAAATGCGGGCTCGCACGAAATTAACATATGGTGAAAAAAACTATCAGTACCTGTCTTTGGAACGTGCGCGATCCAGTAATTTCATCTAGATGTGGTTGTCATTGTCAGAGATCATTCACATTTATTTTATTCGTGTCATACTTATGGCACTTCGTGGTAACACAGTAAGGGGGGGGGGGAGCAACAAAGTTGAAACCATTCACAACCAAAGTGAACAGGGGAATACACTACAGAGCTTTGCTAAAAGGTACACTAAAGGGTACATAGCAAATAAGCCTACAAGAAACTTGCTAATTCAACCAGAAAGTGCCATTGTACTCGATCAAAGCTATCCGCCTATCAAAGACTGTAAACAATCATTAATTACGAACAAACTATAGTGAATAGTATTGCAGTATTCACCGCACGAAAACTAAATAACTCTGATAGCAATCACCATTGTCTGTTTGTCTGTTCAGCAGAACAAAAAGCCTTTAACTGTAATTATTTTTCTTTTATAATAAATGTCTTGTTTTGGCAGCCTTGATGCATTTAGCCGAAAGGTTATTTGTCAGCCGCCACTTCGTAATAAGATCACGTGCTACATGACACCAACAGGCAAACGAAGATTGTTTTATACTCGCCGTAGTGGCTACTGGTGGCACTGACTGATGCTCCCACGTTTAAATGCTCATATATACTCCATAAAGTGAACGGAGAGATGACCGCCGCTGTAGCTCAGACGTAGAGCATCGGACGCGTTATTCGAAGGTCGCAGGTTCAGTGCCTGATGGTGGCAAGTTATGTTTTCGTCTATTTTTCTGTCTTCATTTTTACATTATATTTACCACTAATAAGATACTCTATGCTTTCCTTGGCAATGTTGTCTCTTATTTCTCATTCTAACCGTGTCTAACGAAGAAAAAGGAGCCCTTAAAACACTTCTTTCCTTCATATAATACATAGAAAATTATGAAAAATATACCATTATATGAATTAATTATAAAATAACAATCTACTCACGTGGATAAAAGGAACATTTTCAAAATAATTTATGAAACAGTGCGAACACTTATCCCGATGAATCGGTGTTCGTCTGCAGCAACCGGGACAAAGAGAGGAACCACTCGAACGACGTCTTGTCAACCAGTTCCTTTTTCTGCCTTTTGGGCTGAACATTTGGTAGTTTATGACGAAAAACTGACTGCGAATACTGGTATAAAAGCAAAACATTTCAGCTCTATCACGTGAGCCTTTTTCACAACGATCTAAAAAAAAAGTTCACAGCTTACACTCGTGGCGCATGGCTCAAACCAACAGTAGAGCTATAGTGTTCAACTCAATTTCTAAGTCTTTGCTAGTAGCATAGAGTTTCCTAATATACACTAGACGGAACTCTGGTGCTAGTGTCTGCGAGAGATGCAACGCACGGTGTTTCAGTGAGAATGGGAATTATCGGTAGTACAGATATTTGTCTAATATTCGTACCTCTGGCCTGCTTTTGGCTCCGTGTGTGTTTGTGTGGCTTGGAGCTGTTTTCTCACGAAACAAATAATAGCAAATGTTCAGTGGTTGCGCATCACCATCTCATTTTTTTAGATTTATATTTCTAAATCTGGGCACGAAGTTCAAAAGGGTTGAATCTTTCTTACAAAACCAAACCAAAACATAGCAATAAACGAAGCCGCAAGTACTATTTGCCGCCCGCAAGCACGAAGACTAGGCAAATGTGTGTACTACCCATCATTCCCATGGTCGCTGAACGATCGCAGCGCCAGAGTCCCCTCTAGTTAATTTTTGGGAAACTCTATGGCTAGTAGCACCAAGTGTTGCTAAGCTTGAATAACTTTCTCCTGTTTCACTAGGCACGCGCACGTTATGTCGCTTTGGCGAGAACATTCCACGTTACTACTTGTTTCGTGCGTTATCTTGCGTGATTTTAGTCACATGACCTGATGTTACGTGACGTAACGGGATTTAGTCAGGTGACTACTTGTTACGTGATCGTACGCAATTTCAGACATGACTACATATTACGTGACGTAACGCAATTTTTAGTCTGGTGACTAATTGCTACGTAGTCATAAGTGCTTTCGGTCACGTGACTTTATGCTACTTGATTTCAGTCTCGTAACTATTACGTGGTTTTAGCGAATATATGTTGCATGATGTTACGTGAGTTTAGTCGTCTGACTAGTTACTGAGTAGAATCACGTAATTTTTAATCACCTGACTATATTTAGATTTTGCGTGATGCCATGCAATTTGGGTCACGTAAATTATGGTGTAATGCGGCAGTGTGCCATCTTCGCAACAAACCGATGAGAGAGCAGTGGTCGCTTTTGCGATGGCGCCACTAGCAGGGCGCCACCATCGAACGGTGTGCCAGAGCGCGCAATCAGAATTTGCATTTAAAAAATTTCTGAAGTTTTTTAGTTAAATAGTCACGCCACACGATTGAAGATAAAGGTATCTGCAGATTAAAACACACCCAACACATTTCTACGTATTAATAATATAAATCAAGCTGCTCCTGCGTCGTATAAGCTTGCACAATTCATATTGCAGAACATGGACTCAGGCAGTGTGATTGCTTACTGTTTTTAACTGCAAAATGAATAAAGAAGCACTTCTTTGTTCATTCCATGCATATATGTACGCCTGCCTATAGTTTTCAGACTAATCTGAGTTCTCGCGACGAAACGAACGAGGAATTCCGGAAGGATAGCGTGAACATCCTCAGCTGCGTTCCACGACCACCCTTCACCATCATGAGCCCGAATAGTAATTAGTCGCGATGTTGAAAAAAACGCTCAATGACGAATACTGCTCTACTTCTTTATACATTTTACTAATAATTATTATACATTTTACGACCAGCACGGCAACTACAACTACCAATATAGCTTTGTATCTCAGATTCTCATAAATTACTTCAGGGGAGGGGAGAAGATAGCACCACAGTAGTACGGTATGCTCAGGCAGCGCTGACCGTCATAGCGAAAAGAGCCATGCTTTCAGCGTCATACGACACACTGCCCCGTTTCAGTATACCATACGTGAATAGATGTAACATGATGCTACGTGATCTTTAGTCCTGTTCCCCACCACGGTGGTCTGATGGCTAAGGTACTCGGCTGCCGACCCGCAGGTCGCGGGTTCAAATCCCGGCTGCGGCGGCTGCATTTTCGATGGAGGCGAAAATGATGTAGGTCCGTGTGCTCAGATTTGGGTGCACGTTAAAGAGCCCCAGGTGGCCGAAATTTCACTACGGCGTCTCCCATAATCATATGGTGGTTTTGGGACGTTGAAACCCCACATATCAACCAACTTTTTAGTCCTGTTACGTGATTTTAGACCCATGGCTACTAACACAATTTTCAGTTACGCAAAAATTTTGTCCGTCATAGTTATTGCATTCCACGCCACAGATAAATCGGCGAACGTGTTGTGGGAACGAATCACGTGATAAAGAGGCCAAGGCGAGCGCGTGCCATGTCGTGAGTTTCTGTGCGTACTACCTGGCGCAATGATAAGCTTAAAAAATCCCACCGTTAAAATGAACGCACAAACAGTTGACAGCTGACAAGCAGTTTAGAACATTCAACATGTGCATCAGGACCCCTCCCAACATGGCTACCCTGACTCTTTCGCGCACTTTGTAACGTTAGCTAGCACGTTCTGCCCGTCCTGACAATCGCGTTCTAGAAAACGTGCTCCTCTGCCGTATGTTCTGGAATGAGCGAGTACTTTTCACGGGTTCTACGCGCCTATAATGCTGAGGTAGCGCACGTGCTAACGAACAAGTTCAGGCATTCTCTTGTGCCATTGCGAAAGTCTAACTGCGAAAAGAAAATGTTCTAGGCATTGTCAACAACATTCTGTACGTAGACCGTGGTGGACATTACTAAGGTGACACGGGCAACCTTGAGACAAGACTCAGGCGGCACATGTTTGTCGTGAAAAAGTGTTAGTCCTCATTAATATAGTTTGTGAAGTAGAAAAACTTCCCTTAAATTTCACTTTCTTCCTTTCTTAAGAAAGAAGGTTTCATCGTACTCGCTGACCTAACACACAGAAACAAATAGCCGCTAACTTAAGGCCTTGATAAAGCGAAAATAACGGAAAGAGATAAAAAGTGGACCACGAGGTTTTATTTTCAATCTCTGACAATCCAGACAAAGTGGACATGCTCAATCGTATGACAGCAACTTCCCACACGTGCAAGCACGTTGCCCATGTGAAATTCTAAGAGATACATAACCAGACTGTTCATGCTTTCACCTTACATTGTGAAAGAAGACTGCCATGCGGGAGCCAACACGGCTTGATTTGATGTGAACATTCGGAGTCAGTTCCATTTTTAACTTCATGTCTTTTCCCGACAAGACGAGTTTATTTATCAGTTTATTTACACTTTGTACAGAGCATACAATCATAACACATTTATATATAATTGTAGGGGTTCAACATCCTAAAACCACCATATCATCATGAGAGACGCCGTAGTAGATGGCTCCAAAAATTTCGGCCACCTGTGTGTGTGTGTGTGTCTTTTTTTTACATGCAAACATTTCAAAAGAAAGCTAGTTTGCTATATTCATGTTTCATGACTACACATCGATATGAATGTTGTCGCTAGTGTAAGCATACATACGGGAATAAACTCCCGAAAAGCCGGGCATGAAGGCCCGATTATTGCCGTGACAAATTTTTCAAGGCAACTGACAAAAAATAGAGTGGATGTGGTAAGGAGGAGGAAGCTCAAGAAAATTCTCATAGATGATAACAATGAAAAATTTGAGAGAGCTGTGGGTGGGAGTGGGTACTATATCTTGGTGTTGTATTCTTACCAAACTTGAAGTGGCACAAACACATCGACCTTATTTCTGCAAAATCGCTTAAGAAATTAGGTTACTTAAGAAGAACGCTAAAGGGCGCCACAAAAGAATGCAAGCTTATAGCCTTCAAACCACTGGTCAGGCCTCTTCTAGAATATGCGTTTGTTGTGTGGTCACCACATTTTGCAATTGACATAAATAAACTTGAGGCCATCCAGCGAAAAGCGATTAGATTCATTTTTAACCGTTATGACCGTGATTTCTTCCCTTCAGAGCAGTACCATGCTTTATCGCAAAACTGTTTAGAACACAGACGTATGTGTGATCGGCTTACCATGCTGCATAACATCGTGCACAATTCCGTCCGCATAGCCACACCCATTTCGTTCACCAATCATCCTACCCAGGTGACTCGCCGATACAATCCGTTGAACATTGTGCCTTTCAGATGTTTTATTGATTGTTATAAATAATCTTTTTTTCCGTGCACAGTTGACACTTGGAATAATCTGGACACTACTTTGAAACGACTACCGCATGCACTGTTTGTTGAACAAGTGTCCAATTGTGTAAATTGATGTTCTTAATTTTGCTGTTCCTTTTGTTTGATCAGTTATTGTTTGTTGAACAGATGTGTAATTACGCAATTTTATGTTTTTATTTATTTGTGCTGGTTTTGTTCGTTTATAGTAACCACTCCTGCAATGTCTCAAACATGAGACAGCACTATCTGTAAATAATAATATCATGAGTGTTATTATAGTCAGGGGTGTGTCTACCCTTTTTTTTTCTATGTGGCGGGTGCATACGCACTGTGCTGTGTTGAAAATTTAACACTCCGCGGATTAATCGCCTGTTCAAGTGGTATAGATCGCTCAAGAGTTTGTCGATTCGCTTAGATTCACATCACACACACTGAGGACTGTCCACCATTGAGATTGCTGCATATCGATTCGGAGTCAATTCTGTGAAGCCTCACCGTGGCAATCAGCCTTGGCTATAGAATGTACCAATGCATGATGAATGTTTGGATCTCTCCGCAGGCGTCACAGTGAACGCTCTGCACCCTGGCGATGTAAAGACGGACATCGCAACCAACTCGCCCGGAGGTCTTTTCTTCAGCTTGCTCTTGGCTATTGGAGGAAAAGTGAGTTGCCCACCTTTTCGTTCGTTGGCGTTAGGGATGGTTTCATGAGTATCACTGCCCCCGTGACCAGGGAACCAAATTGGATGTCATTTACCTGTTCAAGATGCAGCAGAGAGAACGCGAGAAGCATCCTTGCACACCGAGTGGTTCATGAATGCTCTAGTGGCAGCTCGCGAGTCTGTGACCATAGTATAACGAATCGTAATGGCCATTGCGATTGTCACTCGTCTACACTAGCACCCATGGCTTTAGCTGCGTAACACTTAAAACCACAAGCGCTGGTCTCGTTCTCGAAAAGGTCGTTCTCGGAACACACGGACGCAGTAGACGCCGTCAGACAGATGAACACGCGTTCATTTGTTAAGGAGCTTTTACAACGGTGAAGTCACAAGCCGAGCCTAATGATTAAGTGGTAACGTGAAAAAAATCACAGCATATTCACGGAGTTGGCGAAACTCCGCAGGTAGATTAGGAAACCGTAACTCGTCTGTGAATCTTGCCCAGTCGATCATGTGAAGACGTGACAAACACTGTATGTACACAACGTAATGTTTTATTATTCGTCAATATTCCCAGTAAATGATGAGAAATGAAGGAGCATGCTCCATCCGTCCGTCCGTCCGTCCGTCCAGCAGTCTGGCTGGCTGGCTGGCTTCTTTTAGTGTCGGCCCAACGACGACCCTGGCAGCTAACTCGCTGCTGCACGAGGGCTTCGTAGTCAGCTGTAGGCTTGCTTTTAAGCTTTTCGTAGGCATCTGGAACATAAAGGAACCAGCTGCTCCACTACATGTTACATTGTTGTCTCGTCCATGAAGACAGCAGCAGATGTGTTGAGGCTAAACTTTTTATTTGGGCGGGCTTCTGCCTAAAAAATGAAAAGATAATGGACAAGCAATTCACTCTCTACAGTGATAGCGGTGAACAGAGCATCGGCCATCGATAATCTGACAAACGTCAAGGCGCGTCGGCTTTTATATATGTGCTATCGAAGATTTCCGCTTTATCACTGGTGCCCGCTTAAACTATGGAATAAGTTAGGCTTCATTCAAGTCCTCAGCACAATCTGAACAAAATTATCTTAAAACAATCGCAAAGCTTCTCAGACATAGCGGCGCAATCTGCACCGAGCGCTGATTGATTGATTTGTGGGGTCTAACGTCCCGAAATCATTATATTATTATGAGAGACGCTGTAGTGGAGGGCTCCGAAATTTCGACCACCTGGGGTTCTTTAACGTGCGCCCAAATCTGAGCCCACGGGCCTACAACATTTTCGCCTCCATCGGAAATGCAGCCACCGCAACCGGGATTTCATCCCGCGACCTGCGGGTTAGCAGCCGAGTACCTTAGCCACTAGACCACCGCGGCGGGGCACCGAGCGCTGCAAACAGTCCTCACGGGTGAAATCCGAATACATCAACAAAATTCACGTGGTAATATAAATAAAAGCATAGAATAAAAATAATTAAATAGAAAGATTTTTCCGAAGCGCACGACCATGGATTCGAACCTCTGACAGCTCGCTGCCCTACGCGATGCTTCGAAGAACCACACTGCAGGCGCCATTCGTTTTCCAAGACACTAAGGCCAGAATACGGACCCAAGTGACGTTAGGTGAAACGCACTGGACGCCACACGTGATGAAATTAAAATTATGCGCGATGCGGGTCATGCTGCATCGTTGCCCGGGCTGCGTTTCCTTCGTATCACTGACGACCAGGGCTGTTTTCCGTTTTGAGGTTGCATGACCGCGCCACTTGAGGGCAGTTGGCAAGGAATAAAGAGCCAGGGATCGTGTTTTGTAATTATCGAGTGAGACAAGTCATAAGGACAATTGGGGTCAGAAAGACATGGTTAAAAAGACTAAAGTGTTCAGGATACGGGGTGGGTTTGAAAATAGACCCAAGTGCAAAAGCGAGTGGAGAAGAGGCTGACGCGAAGTGTAGGCAATATGAGGTCGAGGAAAAAAGGGAGAAGATGATTGTTGCCCAGAGTGAACTGCTGATGAGAATCACCGAGCTGAAGACTGTGTTGGCGACAAAGCAAGAGAAAACGAGGGCAACGGGAGGAAGGCTGAATTCCGCCGAGGAAGCACTAGCCAAGGTGAACAAAGGAGCGGCCTACAGAGAGAACAGTAGGGAACCGGCAACCAGAACGGTGGGCAAGAAAGAGCAAGCAAGTTTGGAAAAAAACAGGTTCAGCCAGTTCAATTGTCACAAAACCCAGCTTCAGCGAAGTAGTGGCGCGGCTGGGATGGGACAAAGCAGCCTAAGTCACAGGTGTAAGTAACCCCCACGTGCAAGATGTTCTATCTGAAAAGTCACAGCATGTGATAATCGCCGGGGACTCGAATTTAAATCGATGCGCAGAAGTAATCAAAGAGAGGGTAAGAGGTGACAAGAAAGTTGCAGTAGGGATGTTCCCAGGACGCAAGGTGGAAGCAGTCATTAGGAAAGCGAGCGCAAAACTCAAAACTGCAGCTGATAGACGAAACCTTGTGATAATTTCAGGTGGTCTAAACGATGTATTAAATGAAGATACGTCAGGACTAGCAACCACACTGGCGAAAGAGGTCGATGATATGCGCGCCACTTATCCTCAGGTACAGGTAGTGATATGCACGATACCGGAGGTACCGGTGCGTGACGGCAACCTGCAAAAAGCGGTTGTCAACGCAAACCAAGAGATATGGCGGAGGAGTCGAGAGAAAGGCCTAGAGGTGGTGAAAATAAACAGAGAGGTGCATAGGTAGGGTAGATTTCAACGAGACAGAATTCACTTCGATGGGCGGCTAGGTCATGAGGTGGGTTGGCGACTTGCAGGACGCGCAGTAGCTTTTTTGGGGGGGGGCACGCGGGCCCTTCGGGGTGCAGGATAGCTAGTAACGAGGAAAACAACCAGGGATACACTTTACCAGGTGGTATGGTCAGATACTATTCCAAAGTGGCACCAGTATCTAAGATAGGTAGAGTCCGGAGTAGAAATTCACGTAGCCACGAAGGCCGAGCCCATTCAGACATAGGGTATATTAACATTCAGGGTGCTAGGAACAGGCTGAAGTGGGAAGAGATAGAAGAACAGCTAAGGGAGGAAAGGCCGATGGTATACGGTTTTGTAGAAACACATCTTAGGGGCATGGAACAACCTCCTAACAATCCGGACTACGCGTGGCAATATTGTAATAGAACAGAAGGCAGCAGAAAGGGGGTGGTATTGGGGCATTCATTAATAAAAGTACAGACTGGCAAAGGGTCAAGCAGGAGTGCAAGGAACATTTATGGCTAAAAGGAAAATTGGCAGGGCAAATGACCCTCTTTGGTTTGGTGTACTTGTGGACGGGAGCAAAGGTCCGAAAGGAAAACCAGACAATGATAGAGTGTATATTAAAAGACGTTGAGGAATCAGGAGGCGAGTGCGAGATAATTATACTAGAAGATATGAATGCGCACATAGAAGATATAGATAGTTATACTGACCCAACAGGCAAAATGATCATGGATATGTGTGAAAGGCATGATTTAATCTTTTCCCACAGTACCGAAGAGTGTGAAGGGCAAATAACATTCAGCTACATGTACATGAAGAATGTCGATACAAAATGGAGGAAGCAAACCAGAAAATGGACTGGTAAATACTTAGAAAACAGCAGGGGGCCAAACCAAAAAGAATTATTGGTTAAGAAGAAGGTGAAGGAAGCTGAGACCGATATGTGGAGAATTCGCATGATTAAGAAGTCCGCACTAGAGATATATCGAACTTGTAGGCTGGAAATTGCCAAGGAAATAATCTATGATAATAATCGGGGTACATCTCTACTGTTTGAGGCCAGGACGGGAGTATTGCGAACCAAGACATATCGGGCCAAATACGAAGGGGTAGACACAGTATGCAGTGCGTGTGGAGAGGAAGAAGAAACTGCCGAACACTTGATAATGTTCTGTAAAGGGCTTCACCCTATAGTTCAGGATGATGGCGCAGAGTTCTTCAAACAACTGGGGTTTAGTGACAGGGAGGGCAAACAGACATTAAGTGGGTAGAATTAACTAGAACAAGGTTATCTGATTGGTGGCTGAAATCAAAGCACGAGTGAAAATCAAATTTTTCACTGCAAAGTAACAGTCCTCAACTTCACTATTTAAAGGGAGAAGAAGATAAATCTAGTGTTGTGTTCACTAAGTATAACGGCTAGGTGGCGCTAGCCACCGCCCGATCTAAAGGGTACAGTTATATCAATCCACCCATCCATCCGGAAGAGCGTCGTGTGGCTCATGGTGGCGCGGGCTAGCGGGAATGGTTGGGATGTTGTAGGCCCAAGCCCCAGTAGGCCCCCGCAACCATACCACACATGCGCACACAACACACAACACACACACACACACACACACACACACACACACACACACACATATATATATATATATATATATATATATATATATATATATATATATATATATATATATATATATATATATATGCACGTAGCGTTGCATATAGTCTAGTAGATCCTCCGTGAGCGGTCACAACGTGGTTTATTTCGACGTTTCGGCCTAGAGTCTGGCCTTCATCAGGAATAAAGATACAGTTTGTCGGTGCTCAGCTTTATACAATCTCAAATCAGAGGGCAAGGTAAGAGGGAAAAAAAGAAAAGAAAAAAAAAACAAAAGAAAAGAAAAGGAAAGAAAAAAAGAAAAAAGAGAAAAATAATATACGGTGACCGCCCCTCGGGTGCCCCCCTTCCACTTTTCCCTCCACTCCCCCCATCTCTCTCCCCCCTCTCCCCTTCACCTTTCTGATGTCAGCGGTCTGTGTATGTTTCCGTTCACTAGCGCATTCCTCCCGATCAGGCGGTCCCTCCTGGCACTGGCGGTTCGGTGTGGGGCAAAAAAGAGCTTTTCAGGAAGTCCTAAGCCTTTAACTGCTCGGGGTCCCGTAAACAATTCGTCGTAGAAGGACGGGGGCCGCGTATTGTGGCAGAGGCTGGTCAGCGGGCATTTTAGGAAGTTCTAAGCCTTTAACTACTCCGCGCCCTGTCAACATTTCGTCGTAAAAATAGCACCCCTATTTTTACGACGAAATGTTGACAGGGCGCGGAGTATATATATATATATATATATATATATATATATATATATATATATATATATATATATATATATATAGATATATATATATATGTGTGTGTCGTATGGCCTCAGAGTGGAAGAAGTACGTTCGCGCTGTAATTTCATTTAGACTCAGGAATATGTACCAACTACGCACCCAAATAAAGTTTTATTTTAGGGACCAGAATCGACGCCAGCAGGGAACGCCAGCCGTGGCTTCACGTGCCGGTGCCAATTTTATGGGTTCCCAATTTTAAGACTCTTTAGTGTTCCGCCGGAGTTCAAATGTGTGTCTCGGGCTTGTACTTCGACATAGAGAAAGTGGTCGCCTGTGCTCTATAGTGCTTATCACTCGAGGTGTTTTTTCTTGCGTGTTCCCATACTAATGTTTCCGCTCAAGCTATAGAGTGTACGAATGTCATTTTTCTCGCTGCAGTGGCCAAGGACTGAATAGCCAGCTGAAGAAGAACCAACATAGGATCGAGTTAAAGTAAAACAACTATGGCAGTTTTCGCTCGGGCTGTGCGTACTTGTCCTTTTTTTTTTCAAGCGTCCTTTTTCTGTGTTGGGGCAGTAAGCAGAAAGTCTCTATCTGTGCCTTTCTGTGGTTCGTTCTCACTTTGAATGTACGGCTTTTTTCGTGCAGACTGCCGAGGAAGGGGCGCAGACGTCCATCCACCTGGCCGTCGAGCCCAAGGTGGGGACGGGCCACTACTACTCGGACTGCCGGCGGGCCTGGATAAGCAGGCAGGCGGCCAACCGGAGGAAGTGCGAGCGCTTCTTCTGGCACTCTGCACGTCTGGTGCACCTCGACGAAGACATGGTCAACTCTCTCATAGGAAAATTATAGCATGCATCGAAAATGTACAAACAGATAGGCTCGCTGAACTCGTAACACTCACTGCTCGCGTGTAGTTCCATTTGATTTGTGTAGGAGAGTGCTTATCAAGTGTAGGTATACAAATCCCTGCCTGGCTGCAGTTCGATAGGTCTCAGTCAATTACACTTAGAATGCTCTAGACAGGCTCGTTACCCTCGCGGGGCCTTCTCAGTCGAATCTCCACAGACATTGACTCAAGTTGTCCGGAATGTAATGAAATTTACTGTGCCTTAGCGCACATGCTTTGGCAATGCCCCGCGTTACTTAACGGCCCTCTATCCAGCGAAGCCGACTGGGAAGAGGCACTCCGGAGCCCATCGCTCCAGGCACAAATCGAGGCAATCCAGAGGACCAAGGGCGGAACATCACGGTGTCCAAGCCCCGACCTGGACGCGACCAGCCGCTTCCGCGGGTCCCTGATAGGGGTTCCCGCGAAAGCTCCTCAGGATCACATAAAGTTCATTGTCTGTCTGTCTGGCTGCAGTATGTATTAATAAATAAGTGCGCACACTGTACGTAACATATTTTCGGCAGTGGCGTTTCTCGATGCTAAAGTGAGGAAGCCAAGAGCAAGGCTAAGAAATGGCTTGCGAAGTGACGGTGGCGTGCTGAAGACCACGAGTACGCACAACAACGGAATACTAGGCAACAGGAAAGGCAACAGTGGCTGCGAGAAGGCCCGGAAGCGATTAAAGGCCTACGCCAACGACGATGTAGCCGTGGATATGTGTGGGGTACGAATGTTCGGTATTATCACGAGCTTTTGTCTCTGGAGTTTACACGACCGTGTCGTGTCTGCGTTCAACTCGAGCATTTCTCTTCGGAGAATCAACGTAGAAACAAGCTAGCGTCACCTATAGCTACAGTATATTGTAGCGATGCTGACGCCGACAGGTTAAAAAAACAAGCGTCTTTATTAGGGCGAACTTGTGCCCACGATTCTAAAAACTATGGTCGTCAAGTTCGAGTAGCCGAGTGGCACAGATCCGACTATCTTCCTCTTCCTCGTTGCTGAACGTACGAACGCGTGGCGCATGCCAGCCGAGCTGGGTCTTGCTGGTGCTGGTGACGATGATTGTGGCGGGCTACTTGAATGTGGCGAACCTGTCGCAGCATTGCCCCCCTCCTCAGACGCATCGTCCCGATGCTTAAGACAGGGAAAAGATACACGCGCACTCTCACTCGTTTTTTGACGATCTGTCATGATAGGGCTTCATGCGGACTACGTGGACCACTTCCGTGGGATTGCGGCGTCTTGAACTCACGTGTCTAGCGGATCTAACTTCATAAGTGACGTTGCTGATACGGTTGAGTACTTCATAAGGGCCGAAGTATCGGCAAAGAAGCTTTTCAGAGAGTCCGCGGCGGCGCACTGGTATCCATATCCACACTTTGTCACCGGGATGATAAGGTGTGTCACTGCGTCGCTTGTTGTAGCGACTAGAATCGACGTGCTGTTGGTGGCGTATTCGGTATCTTGCCATTTGCCGTGCTTCTTCGGCTCTTTGCAAGAAGTCATCTAAGTCAGGTGGATAGCTGCTTTCGTCCTGTAGTGGTAACATGGCATCCAGCGGGGTGGTCACTCTTCGGCCGAATACTAGTTCGAAAGGGGCAACGTGGGTTGTTTCTTGAACGGCTGTATTATATGCGAATGTTACGTAGGGTAATATTTCGTCCCACTGTTTATGCTCAACATCAATATACATTGATAGCATGTCGGTCAGAGTTCTGTTGAGGCGTTCGGTTAAGCCATTTGACTGAGGGTGATACGCCGTTGTTCTTCTGTGATCGGTATTTGTCATGCGCATCAGGCATTGCATTAGGTCTGCAGTAAATGCGGTGCCCCAATCCGTAATAACGACGATGGGCGCACCATGTCTGAGCACTATGTTGTTCACAAAGAACTTGGCGACTTCGGCAGCTGTCGCACTGTATAGAGAGTCAGTTTCAGCATAACGGGTGAGATAGTCTGTGGCTACGACTATCCATTTCTTGCCTGCACGCGATGTCGGCAAAGGTCCTAGGAAGTCCATTCCGACTTGTTGGAAAGGGGCATCTGGAGGGTCTATTGGTTGGAGAAGGCCGGCTGGTTTTACGGGTGGAGTTTTGCGCCGTTGACATTGACGACAAGTTTTCACGTAGCGCTGCACTGATGCGAGCAACTTAGGCCAATAGTATTTCAGGCGAATCCTGGCGAATGTTCGGCTCACACCCATGTGTCCAGATGTTGGCTCGTCGTGGCATGCGTGCAGAATTTCCTCTCGCATGGCTGTGGGCACGACTAGTAAAAACGTTTCACATTTAGGTTCGAAGTTCCTCCTGTGAAGGACACTTCCTCGAAGGCAGAACGCGGAGAGCCCTCTGGAGAATATGCGAGGGACTTGAACGTCGAGACCCTGCAGGTGTTGTATAAGTGCCAGCAAATCCGGGTCATTTCGTTGTAGTTGAGCGATTTTGGATGTGTCGACAACGCCTAGAAACAGGAAGTCTTCCTCTTCAGGTACACTTGGATCGACGGGAGAGCGTGACAGGCAGTCGGCATCGCTGTGTTTCCTTCCCGATTTGTACACGACCGTAATATCATACTCCTGCAGTCTAAGGCTCCATCTTGCTAGTCGACCTGACGGGTCCTTGAGATTTGCCAGCCAGCATAGAGCATGGTGGTCACTGACAGCTCTGAACGGTCTACCATAAAGGTAGGGTCGAAACTTGTTTATGGCCCAGATGACTGCGAGGCACTCTTTTTCAGTTGCAGAGTAGTTTGCCTCAGCTTTTGATAGTTTGCGGCTGGCATAGGCTAACACTTTCTCTTGACCATTTTGCCACTGGACAAGGATGGCGCCGAGGCCGACATTGCTGGCATCGGTATGTACTTCTGTGTCGGCTGTCTCATCAAAATGGGCAAGTATTGGTGAACCCTGTAGTCGTTTCCTTAATTCGTCAAAAGCTTTGTGTTGTTCGCTTTCCCACGTGAAGGGCACGTCGTCTTTTGTCAGTTTTGTAAGAGGTTCCGCAATCTTTAAGAAGTTTTCCACAAATTGTCTATAATAGGCACATAAACCCAAAAATCGACGCACTGACTTTTTGTCTCTGGGTGTAGGGAACCTCTGAACAGCGGCTGTCTTTTCGGGATCGGGACGAACACCCTCGGAACTAATGACATGTCCAAGGAATCGCAGCTCTTCGAAGCCGAAGTGGCATTTTTCGGGTTTGATTGTCAATTTCGCTGACCGGATGGCTTCCAATACTGTGCGTAGTCGCTCTAGATGTTTGTCGAACGTTGCAGAGAATACCACCACGTCATCCAAATACACTAGGCATGACTGCCATTTCAATCCGGCGAGGACAGTGTCCATCATTCGCTGGAACGTTGCTGGTGCGGAACAGAGGCCGAATGGAAGCGCTTTGAATTCGTAGAGGCCATCTGGTGTTACGAACGCCGTTTTTTCACGGTCCCGCTCGTCGACCTCTATTTGCCAATATCCGCTTTTCAGATCTAAGGAGGAGAAAAACTTTGCGGATCGCAACCGATCTAGTGTATCGTCGATACGTGGTAAGGGGTAGACATCTCGTTTAGTTACACTGTTCAGTTTTCTGTAGTCGACGCAGAATCTAAGTGTGTTGTCTTTCTTCTTAACGACACTACGGGAGACGCCCATGAACTATTCGAAGGCTGGATGACATCATCAGAAAGCATCTCCTCCACTTGCTTCTTGATAATTTCCCGTTCTTTCTGTGACACCCGATATGGATGCTGGCATATAGGCCTCGTGTCGTCTTGCGTTATAATTCTGTGTTTCGTGATTGACGTGCGCTGGACCTTCGAGGTACTTGAAAAGCAATCAGAGAATTCTTTTACCAAGGCGTAAATCTGTTTCTTCTGACTGTCCGGAAGGCTCTGATTGACGGTCACGGATGTGTCGATGTTGCAGGCCACTGGTCGAGTGGTTGATGTCGTTAAGCTGCATAGTTCAGTCGCCATACAGAAGTCGTGTAAATAGGCGATAGCCGTGCCTTGAGCGATGTGTTGAAGCTCATTGGAGAAATTTGTGAGTAGGACATCTGCACGGCCATTCGTCAAGTGAACAAGACCCCTAGCTACGCAGACACCTTTGTTCAAAAACAGTCCTACATTTGTATCCGCTATGCCTTCGCGGTTGTACAATGAATCATTTTCTACGAGCACCATTATACTGCAGCGTGGCGGCACAGTTACGTCATCATGAACAACGCGTAGAGCAGTTAGGCGTCGTTCCTCAGATTCCTCCACAGGTATAGCTCGTTCAGTCGAAAACGACACGCTGGACCTACGCAGGTTAATTACGGCGCCATTAGCTCGCAAAAAATCCATTCCTATAATGAGTTCTCTTGAACATTCTGGCAGCACAATGAAATCGGCTACGTAAATAAAGCCCCGTATTTCAAGTCTTGCAGTGCATCTGCCAAGGGGCGTAATAATGTGACCGCCTGCCGTGCGTATCTGCGATCCACTCCACTGTGTCACAACTTTGTTTAGCTTTTTCACCATCTTGTGACTTATCACTGAATAATCAGCACCGGTGTCGACTAAGGCATTCAGCTCCCATCCTTCCATTCTCAACCGCAAATCTGAAGTAACGTTTTCGTTGCTGCACCCATCTAGCGGAAATACACCGTCATCACCCTCAAACCAAATTGGAGGATCTTCGTAACTGACGTTATCAGCGGCCTCACCTCCACAGGTCGCTTGCTTCAGTTTTCCGGGTGTGGACTTGGAGAGCGATGACCAGGCTGCCTTGAAGGTGTACGTGGGCTGGATGACCGGTAGCGCATAGGTGATGGTGACCGTGACCGGTGTTGGCGTAGAGTTGGCGAGTTCTGGCGCGTCGACAAGTACTCCTCAATCTCCGCTGGTCGTTCGCCGATTCGGGGGCATGGTGGATATGACGGGAAGCCTCTTAATCCAGCCTGTCGGTAAGGACAGAATCTG